AGCCTTGGCAGATGCCATTGTTGACATAAGCTCTATATATATGGTAAAGGAATTCCCCTCTAAAACTACTGGTTTTAGAGCTCAAAGCAGCAGCCTAAAGACACTCATTACAGACGGCTCCTGGTTTTATTCAGTCAAGGGCTTTCACAGACAATTTAGCTTTGGGGCAAATGGGAAGACTGTGCTGAAATGGGAATATGTTGCATCAGGGAACTTGGCAAGGAAATGGAAAAGGCAAGAGAGGCATTCATCTCGCAGTTAAGAAATGAGATGTGTGGTGTTTTGAGGAACCTGATTGTGTAAATGCAATTTATCTGCTAAATTGGGATTACAAAAGATTTTCTGTTTTTGTAAATATAGTGGTCAGACAAGTTTAATTACATTATTTTAATCACTTTCACACCTCAAAAGTCAGTAATCATCCCTCAAAACACAGGAGCACTTTGTAACAACAGCAAGTAGAAACAGTCAAAGTTGAATTGACATTTTTAGGAACCATTTTAATGTTCACCTTTGTTTTTTCTTCCTAAAAATAGCTGGATCAGGTATCGGTGACAATGTGGCAAATCTATTCAGTTCAATTCTATGTTTGTATATATCTTTAATAGAGATTTAATTATTGTTTAACTTGTGATAAAGTTGTTGCCTTAAAAAAGATCTACATATGAATTGAAATTCCTGTTAATGTTGAATATTTTTTACCAAGTTGCTGCTGGTCGACTGTTACTATTTGATAATAAATAACTCAGGAAGTTTATATCTGTGTATTTATTTGTTGAATTCAATGTTTAAGTCAAGCCTGACGTGACCCCACACACAGAGGGAAGATCTCAGTCCTTTCCACACAGTGAGGCAAACAGCTGGTATCTGATCGGTACTTGCTACCCGCCGACCAACCCAAAGCCCGGGTATCTGAAAAAGTTACATCAGTGCATCCCTACATCGGACTTCTATTTAGCATTGTAATGAAAGCCAAAACTACAAAAATAAGACGTGGGTTTAGGAATTTCCCTTCAATGTACCTACAGCTTGTGGAAGTGCAGGACCGAAGTAAAGGATTTAGAGGACGTTCTTGCTCTTAAATAAGCCTCATAAGACATAAGAAGAGTGTCACTTTATCGGGGTTGTTCAGGTGGCTATTTGGGATTTCAACAAGAGGCACGCTGTACTGCAAAGTGCCTACTGGGACCCCCTGTTACATACTGAAGAGGAATTCAGGCCATTTATGAGTAGTGTGTGTGTGTGTGTGTGTGTGTGTGTGTCTGTGTGTGTGTGTGTGTGCTCACATTTCTAAGTGCTTAGTCACGAGTCTCCTCTTAAAACCCTTGCACCATATGTCTATCCTTGTGTCACACCGGCAGAGACAGAGAAAGAAGGAAAAAGAAGGAGGGAGTAAAGTGAGAGGCAGAGAGAGAGTGGGTTCTCGAGGGAGCCCCCACTGGCCTCTGTCTGACCCCCTCCAATTTCCTCTCAGCCCAAGCAGACGCATCATTGTATCAGTGCTGTGCGACGTGGTGTGCACCGCCAACACAACAACAGCTCACATCAGCCCAGCACAGTAAAGCACAACACAGTACAACACTAAACAAGAACAGCACAGAACAGCAGCACCTGAGAGGTTAAACAAACGCTGGCTTTGTGCAGATGCACGGAGTCCTGTGTAGCTGTCTCAGACCTCCGCCCAGTGTCAGTCCACCAGCTAATTGAAATCGCATTGCCCTGGAGGCTGCAGGGAGCCTTTCTGCCTTGAGAACAATACAGATCTCTGAAATGTCAATGAAAACAAGTCAGCCGCAAAGGACTGCATTTTGTAACACAATTCTGTAACGCCGTACGCAAGCTGAATGATAGTTACCATGCTACCAAAATATAACAGTCTAACATGTTGCTTATGTAGTGCTGAAAGGCGTAATCAAACAAGAAAAAAGTTAGGAAAGTTGTGAATTTTATCTATAATAATTTTGTGGGAGTTTAGTACAGGTAGCAGACTAGGTGAGGGGAATTATGGGAAAAAGCCCTCTGGTAGTCCATCTGTTTGGGCAAGTCTCAGTGCCCTGGACACAACACTGCACTGGCACGCACGCACACGCATGCTTAGACACACAATTGAACCAACACACCCAAACAGGGAGTCCAGTCCCGCTAGCGAAATACCAAACCCCACCCTCAATGTCCAGCCTCAAAAAACAAAAAAGATGAGAGTTGGTTTGGGGCAAAGAAAGTTGCACGTAAAGCTACAGTAAACCCCACAGGAAAAAGGGGAAATACAATGAGCAGAACAGAGAGACCCTGATGAAAACCACAGATAAAAGCAGCAGATCTAATTACATTGTAAGGGGCGAAGAAAAGACAGATTGAAGGACGGAGTCCTGTCCGCCCAGAAAAAAAATAACGGCAATCCTTCGTTTTCTATCGGCGCAGCGATTAATTGACGAGTGTGCCACATTAATAATAAAGCTTGCTCTCTCCACTTAGGACATTGATTCACACCTCCTCAGCTTATGGTGTAGGAACCCAATCAATCTCGCTCCTTATTCATCTCTCTCTCTCTCCTTCTTGAGCTCCTCTATTACCTTGCTAAATATAACTTTCTTCCCTCTGTCTTTAGCCAGGAAATGAGTCCAACATTCAATAACTGGCTGTGAATTAAGCATGCCAGGGCGAAAGAGATGTCCAGAAATGATTGATTGATTATGAATTAATTCACTAATGTCCCTGATTGATCTACAGGAAGGAGTGATTGTCTGAGAAAGACGATATGAGGGAATAAAAGAGGAGAGGACATTTTTTTGTTCTTTTTTCTTTCAGGAAAAGAGGTGTAATGGCAGCAGGGTCTATAATGTGCTTCCTATGCATCCACATGGCTGTGATATTACAGTGATATGATGTAACAACCGGAAGGTAAACCTATGTTTACATAATGCTGTGGTCTAGAATAGCTAAGACAAAGATAACAAGGAAAAAGAGAAGAGAAACGAAGAGAGAGAGAGATCCACATCAAATGCTACTGGGAGCAGCACATGCCTGCGTGTCTCTCTGTCTGTCAGTCTGTCTGTCTGCTTGGCCTTGAAAAATCCCAGCACTCAAAGCCAGACGACCACAGAACTCATGCCCACGCCATACATGCACGCACACAGAGACACAAAGACACACACACACATACACACTGTGGCCTGCTCTATCCTACGCTATTGATCTGCACCCCACTCTTCATTAGAAAGAAAGATTCAAAGACAACAAGGAGCAGTGAGACGTGTTGTGTGTGTCTGCGTGTCTGCGTGCATGCAGCACGTATGCGTGTTCAGAAGTGTAAATGTATGATCAAGGGAGTTGTGTAAGCTGCGTGTGGTTACATCCTGTATATGCGAGTGTGTGTGTGTGTGTCTGTGTGTGTGTGGATGTACTGCCAGGTATCAGTAACAGTGGGAGCAGATCTGTGTTACTCTAATGCAGTCTGTCATCACTGGGTGTTCCTATGGAAACTCTCTCTCTCCCTCTTTCTCTCTCTCTCTCTCTCTCTGTATATTATTAGACATTCTTGAGTCAACTGCTCAGAATAGGAAGACACAGATCTCATCTATTGTGATACACTTGTTATAAAGCGCTTCGTCTCGCTCCTGTACAAAATGGGAGAGACTTGATTCTGTGAGAACATTTTTGCTTTTGGTGATTAGTTGAGATGTAGACTCTTGCACAGGTTGGGGGTCACAATTGATTGACTTGTAGGCATCAGATCAATCACTGTGACTGGGCAGCCACTTCTGACACAAGCCTGAGGAAGGCATCGCAGTTATATTCTTTCCCTGCAGGCTGATGCTTCAGGTTTTAGCCCTGGTTGAATCTCTATTTGAGTTGAAACAATGGGATTCAGAGCTCAGAGTTTAGCAGTCTGGAGTCTTTCTGTTGATGCATGAGCCTCAAGTTTTCAGAATTGTATATATAGTTCAAATATTTGTGTGTATTCACTGGATAACAACTATAACACAGCATTTTTTTCTGGGAATATAACAACAGACATTTGGTAATACTGCAAATATATCATCACTGGGCCATAGGCCTTGTTTCTCACAAAATATCAGCCAGCTAAAAGATAAATAAAAAAACACAATTAAATTGATTCAATTCCTCTTATCAACACTTACCAGACATGACATTACCTTGAAGTAAATTGAACAAACTCATTTTACTGCGGCAAGGTCACATTTTCTAATTTCATTGTAAAGACATAAGATTTGAGGGTAATACAAGATACAAAATGATGAACAGCTGTATTCGTATGATGGAAATATAATTCTGCTCACTGCTGTGATTCACTGCTATAATTCTGTGTTCAGACCTTGAGTTTTAAAGCCCATTTTAATACACATTTATCTTCCTTCCTTCATACCCCAGAGCCGACACGCTGTGTCAAACTCTAAGTATTATGCTTCCTCTAAAATAATAGCCCGACTTGTTGTTTCACTTCATTTATTTCATCTGTGGAGTGGAAAATGGAGGCAGACGACGAGAACCCAATGACTTGAGTGCCAGCTGTTAATTGTGGAGGCAGCCAAGGCAGTGTATAATTCTATAAAAGATACAGAGGGTGTTACCTTACCAATCAAACACGTCTCCATATGTCGCTCCTTTAATCTCTTTGACAGTAGGGTATGCTCACGCTGTGACATGCCGTCTTTGCATATAATGGTTCGATTATATAAGCAGGTGTGTTTGAGGGAAGAATGGCTTGAGATACTAGTTTATTTCAGGGGGAGTATGGTATGTGAAGTGTTCAAGATGTACTGCAGAGAACATTGATGACAACAAAAAGTCTGCAGGTTTCCCATTTAGGATGAATGATCGGGGACTTAGCTTGCAGTCAGTGTCATATCATTATTTCCACATGTCAGGAAAAAAAATGGAGAAGATGGGAGTAAAATAAAGCACAGAGCTGAAGAGTGCAGCATTCAGTGAAGGGTGTGTACAAGTGGAGGACGGCTCAGCCGGAGCCACAGACTGACCTCTGGAGTGGAAGTCTGCTGCCATGCTGCTGACGGGCGCTTTCTTTACGGCGGAGGAGCGATAGACGACGTGTGTCCTTCCTCCTTCTCCCTCCTCCTCCTCTCCTCTCACTCCGTCGCCCCTCTCCACCGGTTCGATAAAAAACTCCTCTTGCTCCATCCTGATCATACCAGCCTGGAAGAGAGTGTGGGAAATGAATACTTGTAGGTGAACTCTGACGTCATGTTAATGCATGTCAGTCCGTCATATAAACACAAAACACAGAGCTGCCGCTCCTCCCTCGTTTGCCTATCGCTCTTTTCTCCATCCACCCTTCACATATTCTCTTGCCCTGACAGTTTAAACCAGAAATAGTCATTTTCTTTTCTCCACTGCTGTGTTAGGGGCATGCTGGGAGAAAAGAGACGAGGACGGGAGAGGACAGTGATCCCTCCTGGGGCACAGGTCCATAGTGACAACCGGCATCTAAAATGGTCAACACACAGCAGGAGATGAAACGGTCGAACTACCATCCTGGACTAACACATTCTGTCAGGTAATTCCCCACAACCACCTTCCACACCCACACACACACACACACACACACAYACACACACACACACACACACACACACACACATACTCTCTCTCTCAAACACACATGACAAGTGCACAAATGCAAACTCACAGTGAGAGAGTGAAAGCAGGGAAGTGAGGAGAGAGACTGCAAAAGAGATGGTGAGAAGTTAAGAAGCGTGCATACAGAACGCACACGCAAAAAGGAGTTGCGTGCACATAAACGGGGAAAACAGGCACTGGGAAAATTGCCCGTCACTCTCTCTTATTCCATCTGTCTGTTTAAGACAACTGGTAATTACCAAGGCAACGCACTGCTGTAGAGGAAAGCCATGGGGGAGAACACACAGAGAGGATGGAGAGGCTTTGGAGAGGAAGAGCGCAAAAGAAAGAGAGCGATAAATGAAGAGAGACGTCGATGCGATCAGCGCTTGTCCCGCTTCTCCCTCCGCTCTGACAAGAGAAGGAAGGGATGATGAGCGAGTTGAATAGAGAAAAGTGAGCTGATGGTAAAAAAAAAAAAAAGAAAAAGCAGCGTACATTACAGATGAATGTGTGATGAAAAGCTGCTTGTGGACCTTTTCTTCACATAGTTTTGCTCAAACAGACAGAAATGCCACGCTGGGGCACAATGACTATATGTCTATATTAACCTGTTACATCTGTCATCTCATTTAACCCACAACCAAAATGAATATGGATTCCATATTGACATATGTTTTTGCGCATAATGACAGGAGTAAAGTCAAACTCTACAAACATATTTCAGGGATGGATGGAAATCTGTTTGTAAAAAGATTATATTATCTTCAGACAAAGATGGTCAAGAGGTTTTTGAGAGGATAAACACTAAGCACTCTTTGCCAGAAAGCCTTTGACTTACTACACTGAATATTCATGTTATGTGCTTTATTTACTTATTGCAATACAGTTTCTCTATTTTGTAACTATATTACTGCTCCGTCTCCTCCGTCTCAGGCAGAACTTCCACCCATTGCCCGTCTGTCCTGCAATCCTTCCTCTGTAGCTCTTCTCCATATTTGTTGGAGTTGATCATGTTTTTTTTTTGTGTGTGTGTTCTTTTTCTTTTCAACTGCTGCCTATGTGTTGTCAAAGTGGGCAAAATGTTTTATCATTTATTTGTCATATTTGCACGTGTTTTCTTTCTGCTGCAGTGAGTTCAGCTGTCTCAACCACCTATAAATAAAGTTAATTTGACTTCATGTGAATAGAATAGAGAAAGATAAAATGAGAGTTAGTCCTTTGACTCTGTCAGGAGCCCACTGTGTGAGCTGCAGTCATGAGAGAAGTGAGCTTGAAGTCATTATTACACTTATTGTACACTACCTACATGGAGCCTGAACTTAACAAATATGAGGTTTTAATTTATGAGAGCACCTTGGCTCTAAAATCTATTCTTTCCTTTAGCATACTACTTATTGAGCTCTAAGAACTTGTGTGCTCCCTGAATTCCTCAGAGAGGCTGATTTGAAAGGAAATGGATATTAACAAAAGTGGCCCTTCGGAAATAAAAAACGTGCTCTTATTCTTTACTCTCGTCCTCTGCCATTCCTCTCTCTCTCTCCTTTTCCCCGCCAGCCTGAGGCTTTGGTCCCGGAAGGATGTCGACATGCAGCCGACCTGCCCTCTCACACTCCCTCCCTCCCTCCCTCCCCCGCCCGCCCGCCCGCCCGCCCCTCTCCCTCTTTCTCCCTCCACCCTTCTCATCCCTCCATTTCCCCGAGCCGTGGTGCGGCATTCCGATCGGAGCTGATGGATCTGCGATGGTGCATGCATTTCCACTCCAGAATACCAAGCAGTGGGGAGAGGAGAGCTGTGTCAAAGAAAAAAGATGACATGTGGGACTGGGAGACATGGTCGGATCGATCGGAGCCGGCATAGTGGGGGCGGAGGGTTAGAGAGAGAGGAAGGTGCAAGGGAGCAGAAGAACTGGACAAGTGCTTTGAAAAAGCCTCAGTGTATAAAGCATCAAAGCGCCTGCACGACTTTCCACAGTGAGAAGCATTGTCTTCATCTCCTCTAAAGCAGGAGCAGCCAAGTCCCAGTCGAGGGGATTACAGGGAGGCTTGTCCAAATACTGTGTCCAGAACTACTGAGAGACATTTTAGACTCATCGGCAGCACACCAGACGCCTTAATGTGGCAACACCCGTTGGGGTATTCAAAGGCAGGGTAGGGTTAAGGGCCACATAAACATGTAAAGGTCAACCGTGACGACCCATTGTTGGAACGGCTGTATGCTAAAGTATCTGGCTGGACTGGAGTGAATGTACCTGAATTAATCAAATAAAGAAAAAAGGAAGTGTAGTTGAACAACACCTCCAAAAAGTCGAACAACTGTGACAGCTTGGTGATACTTCTCTTTGCTATTTTTGCATGCATTTTTAAGACAGCCCCTAAATTGAGCTCGTTATTTTCCCATCGACTGTCAAGTCACGCAAGATTTTCACAGCTCCAGGCGCCGTGGTGACAGCACCTGCGCAACATCAGTCAAGCTTTATCCTGAAGTGCCAAACCAATACTGTACGGTGGTTTTACCGAGGGTGAACCGTGCAGAATGACTGAATATCAAACTTAAGACTATCCACACCTTTGTATTTTGTTTTGTTCACCCATATGTTAACAGTTTTACCTGGATTACTTTTAACAGCAGGATAACAGAATTCTGATATTAGACTTATTTCTGAAGCTGAATTTTGGAAATGTATCCTCGATGGACATCGTTGTAGAGGGTGAGCTCTACTGATTGCAGCAGTGGGTGCATGATGTCTATGTGTATATCTAAAATTCTATAAATGTCGTTCTGACCATGATGTCAATTTCCACTTGTTGCATGCATACAGCCTTTATAAATAAACTCCCGTCCCCACGAAAACAACTTTGTGGCAACTAAACTTTAGGTTTAGGAAATGATCGTGGTTTGTGTTAAAATACCTACGGAAGTGATGTCACTTAAATACGGGAATAAATCAACGTTAACTTCTCCCACGAACAGCGGTCTCCTGGGTCAACGACCGTTTGTTGTTTTAAATAACTTTCATATTTATAATATTGGGTATGTCGAGGTGAATCAGGAGATGATAGAACCTCTTGGTTTTTCCTTTGTAATTATATATATATTTAGCATTACTCTATGACTCGCCTGCTCAGGGATCTCCATGGCATCAGCTGCCTCGCTAGTTGCTGTTCTCTTATTACAGTAAATTCATTGTGCTCCTTTGGGTGATGAGCCTGAAGATGTTTTATTAGGTTTGACATGTTAAAATGCAGCTTATTAGCTCCACTCCCCTCATGAGACACTTAAATATGACACAGTTGCCTTCTGCATCTCATCTTCATTGATTATAAAAGATTTTCTCATCACACACACACACACACACACACGCATGCACACACACACACACAGGAAGTGTTGGTGCACATCTGGCTGAAAATGTCATGGCTGAGCCTGGAGTTTAAATGGATTTCTATTATATGTTCACTGTTACTGGGTCTGTGTCACCACAACATCTGAACATTTGCATATAGTGGAGGAAACATGGTAATGGAAACATTGCTTGTTAGTATCAAAATAAACAGAAGTTTCTGAATTGAATGCTAATAGGGCCAAAATTATACTATGAGAAATGATTAATAATTTAATTATTAATTAATAAGATGCTAAAAATACATTTTCAAATTTCTAATGGAAGGTTTCCATAGGTAAGCATGGGTATTATTTGGAGTAACCCGATTCTTTTTCTTTTGTTGCATAGATTAATTTCGCACATGTGTTGTAATAATAACTAACAGAAAAAACAACAATCAATAAAATGAACAGTGAACATATACAGCAAATCCTGAATAAAGTAAATACAGAAATAAATTGAATATGTTTGAAATGGACTACGCAGAAGTAAACCCTTATGAACCTCTTTCTATAACTTAAATAATGTAAATAATGAACCTCATGTCGATCATAAATACATTTTATTTTCTGGTAGGAAACTGATGTTTTCACATGTTTCTGTTCAATGCCTTGAGCGCTACAAACAAACCTCCCTTCACCTCTGATCTTCTGTGAAGGTGGTGACGTCTAAGAAAGCATGGTTAGACACCACCACGACTAAGTTTAAATATGCTCTGATGTATGACATCAACTGATGTCATATGAACAATTTTAATAATGGGATTTTCACATCCATAATTCCTCATGCCTTAAGATCATTACAGTAGATGCTTTGTCATGTCTGAAAAGCTCAATCAACATATTATGGACTATTGGTAGTGAACGTCACATCTGCATATTTTAAACACGTAGTGGAATTCACCTGCTTAGTGAACCGAGTCGAGGGAATCGATGCCACCGCTCAACATAAGGCTTAGCTGAAGAAAGACAGTAACTGAAACACGTACTTCGATATTAATGTTGTCAAAATGTTATGACTTTGCTGCTTCACTGAGACTCAAATGAACAAAGAAATGCAAAGCTAGAAAGATGTCTTACTTTTGAGCCGTCTGATGTATTTCAGTTCATATTTCAATCAATTTAAACTCTTCCTTCGGTAGATTTCCTTCACACGGAATTATGATGCAAATTACATCAGAGTAATTTATCAT